TAGGTACAGGGTCTCATTTTGCAGCTCAGTGATCCTCTTCTTTTCATCCTCCTCAGTGCTGGGATTACAGATGTGCGCCCCACGCCTAGACTCCTCACCCAGCGTGTCCTGGGGGTGGGGCCAGTGCAGCATGTGATACTGGGGATTGAACTGTGGTACCTGCACTTGCCTAACCAGATGCTTAGTCTGCTGAACTACCTTGCCAAACCTTGTTTTTAGTAACTTTATTGAGATATAATTCACACTAATATAGATCAATGATGGGAAACCTTTTATAGCTTTAAAAAATATAGCCCACTGCCACACACATGCCATAGGTTCACCTCCACTGGTATATATGTATTAATCTCTTTCACTTTTTTTTTTTTAACAGTTTTTAACTAAACCAAATGGTCTTTTATTTTTTTCCATAATCCTATTGAGAAACAAATAGCAATGAGACAGTTTCAAACCAAATTGCTAGGACAGTTTCAATAATTAACACATTGCATACATTCTTCCTAGTGGTTAATTGCTGTACAAGATGTGAACATGATATCCTATTTACAAAAACTATTAGAACAAATCCCTCCATTAAGAGAATGTAACTATATATCTATCTTAAACATTTTGAATACACACACAGATACAAAATGGACATTCATCTGTATCCCCTTGTTTAAGTTCCGTTATTTGAATATTATAGGTGTGTTAACTCAGCAAAATATTCTGAAAGAGTCCAATAGTCCATAATAGTATTGGGTCTTCCGCTTCACTGGCAATGTCAGAAATTGTTGACCAGGGTCCCCTACAGCTCAACAGCATGACTTTACTTCTTATACTTCGTTTTTATACTTTTCTGCTGGATGGTGAAGACCGAGATAAAGCAGGACCTATGCAACAAGAGTTGTAGCCTTTGGGTCTGATAAGGTCAGTGAAATCCCCTCAGGATTTATCCTGAGATCCTGTACCTCCGATTGTAGAACCTTGTTAGTGTCAGCCATGTGGATGAGTCACGGCCATTGCTTGGCCAATGTGCTCTCTGTGAAAGCCTGAGAGAATGTTTTCTTTCCATGTGACTCTCCTTAGGCACACTTTACATCATCGATCACTTTCCTCTTTGGCCCCGTAATCTCTTTGATCAGAAAATTTGGGACACTACCGAGTTACATGACGTTACAGTACAAGTTCTCATATGTCCTGAGTCTTAATTGACCTTGGAAGGCTACGGCCAAAATGTTGGCTTCCTTTCACTTTCTTTTTTTTTTGCGGAACCGGGGATTGAACTCAGATCCTTGCGTTTGCCGGTCAAGCACTTATCCTACTGAGCCATCTCCCCGGACCCATCCTTTCACTTTCTATGTGTGTGATTACCTATGGTCAGTGGCCTAAAGTATCTTTGTTTGGCATTTCGTGTATGTGTGTTACTGAAGATTGAATCCAGGGCTTTCACATTGAGTTACGTCTTCAGCTCTTTCGTATATTTTCATTTTGAGACATGATTTCACTAAACTGCTCAGGCAGAGCTCAAACTTGGGATCTTATTTCTCCTTCCAGAGTGCCGATTACAGGTGTGTACCAGGAAATCCAGGTTGTTTTGACTTTTTCAAGAGAGACCCCAGCTTTTAATTATTAAATATTTATTTTATTAATTTTTACATGGCTAATTTATAAAGTAAACATTATTTAAGGTATGTATGTATATATGTATGTATGTATAGAAAAAATAGTACATATTATCCCTGTGCTAGTCTTCAGCACTACTTGCTATTTCAGGCACTCATCAGAGTTCTTACTTACCATGTATCCCCCACGGATAAGGTAAAAAGGAGAAACTAATGTAATTCAGCTATGTTAACTGTACAACCGAATGTTTTTTAGTATATCCTCAGAGTTATGAAACCATTACCACAATCACATTTTGAACATTTTCCTCACGCTGAAGAGAAGCCCTGTACTCTTTATTCTAATCTTCCCTTTACCTCCAGCCCTAGGCCACCACTAATGTAATTTGCCTGTAATGGACATTTCATGCTAATATAATCAAATAATATGTGATTTATATAAGTGGTTCATTTAGCACATGTTACTTCTTGCCAAATAATATTCCATTGTATTTTTACCACATTTCATCTATCCATTAGTCGATGGACACTGGACACTTTTTTGTTTGCTATTATCAATGATGCTTGCTACATACATTTACACAAGTCTTTATGTGGCTATAGTGACATAGGTTTCATGCTTATTGAGTGTATATGTACCTAGGAGTAGATTTACTGAGCACCACAGTAATTCGGTTTTTACTCTTGTGGAGGAACCACCAGCCATTGTCCTAAGAAATTGCAGCATGTTATATTCTGACCAGCAGGATGAGAACCTATGAGATCTAGTAAAACTACAGGTCTACTCATAAGAGTGCAGGTAAAACAGAAATGCCACTTTCATATAGCTCTATTGTTTTTCACTTTTTGTACTATTGTCATGCATAGAATATTTATATATTATAGACCCAGCGATACATATGTTGAGACAGGGCTTTCATGCTTTGCAGTTTAGGCTGGTCTCAAATTCAATACATAGCAAGGCTAGTCTCGGACTTGGGGCAATCCTCCCTCAGCCTCCTGAGTGCTGGGATTTCAGGCATGTGCCACTAAGTCTTACAGAAAAGAAAGGATAGCAAGTACATATTTATAGCATTGCTTTTACTAATTTCTTGTTTTCTAATTCTCTTCGTGTGTTCCTTTAACTTCAAATTACTATTTGTTATCATTTCCTTCCTCCAGGAATGACTCCACTCATTCACTTTCTATGTGTTGTTAATAGCAAGTATGTTACATATGCTATAGACCCCAGATATAATTGCACAATATTTTTTTACACTCACTCTGCAAATCAGTTAAAGAGAATAAATGAGCACATCTTCTAATGTTTTATAATTACCATAACCATCTGGGGGCTTGCACTTCCCAGAAGATAACATCATGTAAGAGCTGGGGAAGAATGAGTCCTATTTACAGCTGCTTCCTTCTGAAGTAGCCACCACTCTGAAAAAAGATGGTTGGTAATTTATTCTTTTTATTTTTTTAAACAAGTTTTACTTGCTTTTCTTAAATGCTCTGGTTCCTATAAGCCCTTGGGATAATTTAATGAGATTTTGAAGACATAATTTTGCCAGTTAGGCTTGTTTCACTGCAGAGCAGCCCTCCAGAGCTCCTAACACTACAGGATCCATTCTAGAATAAGTCACAATCATGGAGTTCTTACAAAGTACTTTTGCATGTAAAATTTAATTTTATGAGAGAGGAAGGACTTCTAGTCCTCAAGATGAGGATATAAGATGTTAACGAAGTTGGTTAAGGTTATAAAGTTTATCAGTCATGCGTTATGCATTCATTTAGAAATAGCTGCCCACTTCCTTTTAAGCATTAGATTAAAAAATGCTGAGTTTACTATTTAGACAGGAAATTCCTTGCCCCCAAAGAGGCAGTAAAAACAGGTAAAACACGAGAATAAAATGTATGGTCTCTCTCTGTTTCTGTCTCTGTGTCTCTTAACAAGAACTTGCTTTGTAGTATAGACTGTCCTTGAACTTATGTGCAGCCAAGGCTGACCTTGAATTTGTGGTAATCCTCCTGCCTCAACCGCCTGAGTGCTAGGATTACAGGCATGTGCATGTGCCACCACACCTGGGTTGGTTTTTTTTAAATTAACACATAATGGTATATGTGTAGGGTGTTTTGATACATTTATACAGTGTATGAGAAAAATGGGGTGATTAACATTTCCCTTTCCTTAAATATTTGTATTGGATTGCTTCAGATTGTAGTACTTTATAAAATATAAACTATAGTAACCTTGTCTTACAGATTAAAAATTACTTCTGCTAGATAAAACACATGGTATTTTAGAAAATAAAGAGTATCTACCTGGTCCTGTATTAAGTAAGAATTAGAATCTAAGCATTTTGTTTCCTAATTCTATTTTTCTTATGGTTTTAACTGAATGAAGAGGCACACTGCAGAGATAAAGACTGAAACCAGATTTCTAGGTGGTTGCACTGCAGTCCAGTTATTTTATGGGTAAATTGATCTCTCTGTGCTTCTGTCTCAACTGAACAGGGTAGGCACACCTGTAACTCCTGCTACTTGCGAGGCCAAGTAGGTAAAAGACGGGTGTAGCTCAGTGGTGCGGCAGTTTTTTAGCATAAGTTACTGGGTTTGCTCTCCCCTTATCCCCATACAGATCAAGGTTCTGTCCCTTAGATTATAAGATGAAAAGATGGCTATGAGTGACATGCCTTGAACTGTACCTATATAGTTCTGACAAACGATTACTAACTGGACTGTATTAGTGAGAATAGTTAAATAATAAATTTCCTCAGGAATATACTGTCAACTTTCTCTAAAGTGTTAACTGATTAACATCCAAAAGATAAAACTGACTTCTCAGGATACATTGCTGAACAGTTTGCAGTTAGTTAAATGTGGATGTAGTGTTAATTAAGAAGTCCCTCTTGGGGCTGGTGAGATAGCTCAGAGGCCTCAAGCACCTGCTTAGGCAAGGGACCTCGATTCAATCTCCAGCACCACATGCCATGCTAGCTCTGCCCCCAGGGTGGGCTGAGCTGGCCACAAAAAAAAAAGCTGCCTACTGGATAATCACTCTTCGAGGTTATCTTGCCATAGTAACTTTAAAGTATGATTTTATTGTTAGTATATATTGAATTAAAGGTAATAGAAAACACATCTCACATTTTTTTCTCTTGATGGGAAAGAATCTAAATCTATGAAATTATTTTAAGATGCTAGTAAAGAATCAAGTTTTGGGGCTGGCAGGGTAGCTAAGAGGACTAAATGCCTGCTTAGGCAAGCACAGGGACTGGGATTTGACCCCCCCCCCCCCACATGCTGCTGAGCCAGCCACTGAAACCAGGCGTGGTGGCAGCTTCCTTAAATCCCAGAACTGAGGAGGCTGAAAACAGGAAGATCACTACTAGTCTGAGCTGGATAGTGAGACCCTGCACCAAATACATTAAAAAAAAAAAAAAAAAAAAATCAAGTTTTGGGATGAGACAGCTCTGGTAGACTGCTTAGACAGATACAAAGCACACATGTTCCATGTGCTCATACACACACGCACAAACAAAATTTATATTTAATACTTAGGTTTCTCTGGGTTAACCACTGAAATATTTACTGTTATACTTCAAAAATCATTACTGTACCAGACACAGACCTGCTGGCACATGCTTGTAATCCCAGCACTCAGGAGGCTGAGACAGAAATATCAAGTTTGAGGCCAGCCTGGGATGTATAATGATTTTTAAGGTCAGCCTGAACTACATAGTAAGATCTTGTCTCAAAAAAGCAAACAAAAGACTGGTTTTATACTATGCTCAATCAGTTCAAAGTTACAGAAAAACCAAGGCTCAAACCTTCATTAGTGCTTGATAGATCTACGGCAGCTAAAACTTGAATATGCTTCGTAACACGGCTCTATGCTCAATAGGACCATAATCAGCTTCAAGCAAGTTTTCCTATCCCTACCTACCCATACCTGTCTAACATGCTACTTTCCCTAGAACTGACTCTGAGTGCTCTGTACACATTTTTTTTTTTTTTCGATGCAAGGGGTCAACCCAAGCTAAGCCTTGTAAAAATACTAGGCAAGCTCCTACAACTGTGCCATCACCATCAGCCCTAGCCTCTACATTTTTCTTATTTATATTTTCCTCCCTCCGTACCATATTCCTGTGACAGAACAGAAGAAAACTTGCAAACTAGGTTTTTTATGGAAAACTGTTATCTTATTAATGGAAGCATTTAACGCCAAACTTTTGCAAACTCAGAATTTTTATAAGTTTATGACATTTTATTATAACACTAGTTTAAATGCACTTCTCTAGAACTATTCTGATATATATTGTTTTCTAGAACTATTCTTTGAGATTGAATCATCTCTAACATATGACTTTCCCATTGACTTTGAAGCTAAACAGAATTACCAATAACTTAACTTAGATGAATGGACTAACAAAATCACTCAGATGATGATTAGAGGAGTTAATCTCCATCACATTTTATTGTTTCTGATACAGCAGTCAGAATCTTCAAAAAACAAGGGCAGAACTAGAAGTACAATCAAAGCTTCTGCATCTTTAGCCTTTTAGTCCTAAAACTGAGTTAAGCAAGGCAAAGCAACTTTCCTCCAAACTAAATAGGTCTCCAGTATTCCACCTCGCTGAGCTTTCAAACACCAAGTGCTTAGGACTTAATACAGTATTAATTATGCCTGAAGAGCTTAATACCCATCCAGGTCCAGAGGTGGAAGAACACATACACTGTTATGGTGATGGGCAAGAGCAGACTGTAAAAGCAAAGGCTGGCTGTACTTGTGCAGCCCTGTGGGAAGTCTTCCTCCACAGAGGCTGAGTAGAACAGTCCTGCTAAGGAGATCAGTGGAATAAGCACAGTCAGAGTAGGCAGAGACAGAAACATTCTTCTTCCTCACTCACAAACTGCTGCGGCCCTGTTTTAAAGTATATATAAGAAGAAAATGTAGCAGTGTTGTTTTAAAACGTTGATTCAGTGCTGCTCTGTTTCTTCTTGCTTCTTCTGTTGATGTGCTGCTCTAGCTGTTTGTGGTATCATGTTAGGAATCCCATCAATGATTGGATAAGCTATCCCCAGCTCTTCATTGATCAGTTCATTTGTGGATGCTTCATATCTGGGGGCGAGGAGAGAACAAAGAATTGTGAAAACCAAAACACTTGCAAGAACTTGATGGTCAATATAAAATATCATTTATCTAATTCTTCAAATAAGGCTAATTCCAGAACAGTCAATTCTAAAAGCAGTAATGGCCAATTCAACCATTTCTCTTAGGGGTTTATCCTGTAATTGTTCCCATTAGCATCATTACCTCTCAAATTATCTTTTTCACTTTATTCAAGTTATACCTAATTCTTTTCATATCAATCAGATCTCCCTTTTATCCAAATATATCTTGTTTGTTTGTTTTTGTATTTTAGGAAAGGGTCTCCAGGGTGTTCAGGGTCTCACTACTAGATTGGACTCATAGTAACCTGGCTGTTTACAGCCTTTGGAGAGCTGGGATTACAGGCGCGAGCCACCACGCCCAGTCTCAAATATACCTTCATCATTATACTCAATCCCCAAATCATCCCAACTGATTTACTGTTGGAACAAAAACTAGTAATTCAACTTCTTCCTTTCACAAGAAAATTGAACTCATGCATTACCAATGAAAAATCAAAATATACAAACTAAAAGTTTGAGAAAGATGAGGACAGAAATGAAGGAACATGGAAATGAAGGGAGAGCACAGTTGAGCTAGTTATGCAACTGCTACATGGTAAATCAAATGGTAATTTCACTACTTAAGAAAACGAGGGAAAACTAGAAAAAGTAACTTTATACTATAAAAAATGCTAGCTACTTATCACCCAAAGATTACCACTGATAACATTTTGGTGTCATCTGGGATACTGGAGTCATTATTCAGTTTAGCTTGGAACCGTAGAGCAGCAGAACTAGGTTAAGTGTTGTCGAGGTGTTCGCAAACCCCAACGAACGCTCGCCCGTCAGGATCCAAGTCCCACCCGGCACTAGGAGACTCTGGACGCTACTATTTTTCATCATCTTGGCTTACAACCTTGCGTGCTTTAGATTTGTCCTTAACCACCGCGGCTCCTAAACTTGGTTGCATAAAGCAATGAGAGTGATTCTGAACAAGGTACAACTGTTCATGGCAAACCCACAAGCGCCCGCAGCCCGCGACCGCGCGCCCGAGCGACCGCCACGAGAGGTCGCGCGGCCACCCCGCGCCGGGCCTCACCGGAGCGGCTTCTTGGAGAGCGGGCACACCAGGAACTCCAGCAGCGCGGGGTCGAAGGCGCGGGGCGGCTGCTCTGCCCCCTCGCTTGCCCCCGCCACGAACCGCGAGCCAGCCGCGCGGAGGGCCCGGGGCACCACCGCCCACCGAGGCGCGCGCGTCCCCGACACGACCCTCCGGCCCAGCCG